GAGCCTCGTCACTTCCTTGAGCCTRTCTGCCACAGTGYCAYAGGCTGTAATAGTCATCGCTAGTCACTMAGCAGGTGYCAGCAGGTAGCTTCCATCCTCCRGTCACAGCCCACAGGCAACTATACGCAGCAGCRGCCCATAGTCGGCAGGAACYGTTTAAATACGGTCCGCCRTAATCAGCAAGCAGCCGYTGCGCAGTCCTTGGCAACCGCAATTGACCACTCGTAGTAACAGTTCACACTRCTACCAACAGYTATTGCGRTATGTAGTAGCACCCARCAATCACCAGAAGTAGYCGCGCACCCACCGTTCCCAACGACATAGATCAGCAGTTGTCGYCRTGGTACAGCAAAAGAGGTTRCGAGAGTGYTGTAGCTGCGCAGCCGGTTTAGCTGTTGGTGGGACGGCGAGACTTGATTTAGYGGTAAGTATCTTCCAYGTTTTAATCCATCAAGGGTGTAATGCWCAAGCSGGCCGATTAGTCCCCAGCTCGGCCACRCTACAGYCGTATGCAGGTCTCCGAGCTCCGCTACCGTTTCYTCAATACTCCTATCCGCAGGGCRTGCGGCACACTTATYAGTAGYCGATTTGCAAATGGTACCCGACCTGCTGGGGCACGCAGCACACAGACTAGCAGGTAGGCTCYAGACTCCCCGCTCACAGCCCACCCCCCCCTTTTCGAGGGGATGAGCAACGTGCCCGCCAGCGGTAATCTCCAACCACGACGATACCCCTCTCGTTTCCACTTCACCAAGCTGCGGCTACARCCTTTCTTGCAGTCCGGCCACATGCGATTTGGGAATGAATCTACTGTCGAAGTATGGAACTATTCGTCTCTACCTGGCCATGCGCGCTACAACAWKAGGCGCGGTTAATCCCACAACAATCCGTCGGCCAGCAGGTACGTTTACAAATCACCCCYGRCCCTCGTGCCACCTCTACCCATAGGCTTGAGCAAAAGTCGGAATGGATCTCCCGCTAGATCATGGAAAGGTTCATCGTTATATCTGTGTCCTCCCCTGTCACCCCGTTGTGCACCTCGTCCCCGCTTCACCCGTCCCCCACTCCTCCRTAGTCCTACTCGGCTCCGTCACCACCCCTTTTTACATGCTTGCACCCGGCGCGATCCGTCGCCTAGGTTCGCTCAACCCACCCGACTTCTCACCCCCTCACCTTAGCATCCGGCCTGCCTGTTGCGCCCCCATCTCCGCTTTCTCCGACACAGCCTGCCACGTCCCGTTCTTCCCTGCTCGTTATCTCCCACCCATTGCCTGGCTAAAGTTGTCGTCAACAGCGGTCCGCTCAACCRCGCAGTCCGTCGGGCTRTCAAATGCCGAGTAAAACTCCGGCTCGTCGGGTCTCCTTCAGTTTTATACGCACCGCTCTCGCGCAGGGGCCAACAAACCTTCCCCGTATTATTCCAATTTTGGCCGATATCCCAAAGGACTCGCGCCGTCTGGCGCCCTTCGATGCGACTAACAGCTTCACRGTCTCCCTCCTTCAGCCCGTTTCCCCGTCCGGGTTCATTCCCGGACCTCCCCCTCGTTGGCTTTCGCGGATCTCCAAGAAATCTCGACCGGGGTAACTCCCCGTGTTGGCCCAAAGGCCTTACTGTGCCTCTTTAGTACGTACCCGGCCCATCTCACGGCCGGGTTCGTTCCCCATTTGTGGGTGCCCCCTCKTCTCTCCCTTTTGCGCACCTACCTTGTTTACGGTCGGGCCCAATCCCGGACTTGCGCGCGCCAGCCTGGCACAATGGCCATGTAGTCTTCTCTGCATCCTCCCACGGTTATCGGATACCCCAAGCTTCACTCGTGGCAATTACCCCCRCCCCGGCTCGGACTCGGCCTGTACTTCAACAGTTTATGGTTGGGTCCCCCGCTCTAAGGCCAAGGTTYGACAAATCGGACTCGGGACCGGTGCCGGAACCTTGGCAGGGTCCATAAATAAGGGCGGGGAACAAAACGGCGATATAAATTAMGGTAAAGCCCAAAAAAATAGAGGGAATACCACYAATTTATTGGGCCGCGYGCAGARCCCCGCTGACGCCCCCTTCGGCCCTACAGCGCGGGCCCGTAATCGGGTTCCCCCAACAAAACAAAAGGGGGATAGTCCCACGAGACCTTCAACCCCTTCGCTCCTCGCTGCTCCGTCGCCTTCATGTCGCCGTCCGCTAACCTCGAACCTCGAACCTCCGTCACACGAACCCGCCACCGTAACCGATAGGGCTAAGCCCAAGCCTGTGACCAGTAGGCGCGGCTTCCCATATAAGGCGGTGCCGCGCGGCGTTCCGGCCATGATACCGCCCGGTCGCCCTATCTACCCACATTTGTGCCCACGACCCCCAAGTGTCCGCGTCAGTCTACCACCCCGTGCCGTGGCCGTCCCATGCGCCTACCGGCGCGCCAGCCCTACCCTCGGTCACGCGCAGCTATCAAAAACAAACTTTCATTCCCTAACCAAGGCCGTAACACGGTCCAGATCGGTCGACTACCCCGGCCGCCCATTCAATTAGAAAAATCACATGCACGCCTTAAATATTGCGCACCCACCAACTCCCTACCGGGACAAGGCAGACCTTGGCCCGCGCGCGGATGACCCTCACATTTTTCCGCACGGGCACTCAAAATCCAGGTTAACCGAGCCTTTTTATCAGTTGCAAAAACCAGGGCGGATACCCTTGTAAGGGTATTCGCGCCGATAGCTTACCGAACCATATTAAGCGACGTCCCCGTCGCTTCTCCAGATCAGAAAGCTATAAATTTCTCCACACTCCAGGTGCTGACGAGATCAGAACCAATCCGATTGGCCGACAGACTTAGGGTTGAGGCCTCCATCAAACCGTGCCAACACAACTATATGCTGCCAGGGTTTCAACATGGGTTTCCATTGTCCCAACACCAGGACGTCGGTGTATTACGCATCAATACTACAGCATAAGTTCCAAAGGCCCCCAAACCATCCTCTTCCCCTTTTGTCCTAGACAACCGCCGGCCTCTCGTTGGGTGTCCTAGTTAGCCTCTTTCTCGTAGACAGAGCCATAACTAGGGACGTGGGCTTTGAATGGGACCTGTGAAGGCATCCTTGCCTTCTTTCAGCAATTTCCTCACCATCACGCAAAATGCACACATATAGCTTATAGCCCATCTCGGCCCTTTCTGCAGTCTAGTATAGAAACGCCAGGTCTCCATCTGAGCCCACCATAGCCTTGATGATCGGGCCAGGTCTACGGCCCACTGCATTGTTACCTTAGCGGCAGTATCCTCTCATTGGTTATACAATGGCAGGTATGTCCCTGACAATCAATCAATCAGGGCTTCCGAAAGACTCAACTCTCATCCCGTAAGGTAATTTCCCTGGGGCGGGCAACTCCCCTTAAACTCTCACCTTGCGGGCCCGCAGCCAGGTTGTGCCGGCTAACAGCCATCCACTAGGAGTTGCACCCAGGTGGCACTAAACTTTACCGTTAGCTTGGTATTCCTTTTAAATATATCTCAGAATTAGCACAGGTGGCCAGGCGGGGTATCACAAACAATTCACAGGTCACTGCAGGACTACGCAGGGGCTTGAAGGCATTTACCGACTCCCCCGTAGTAAGCACGGCATCCTTCGCTCAATCACAAACACCCTCTCCGCCGGATCCACAAGGCTGCGGCTCCTGACTTGATCAGAGCCAGCAGTCGCCCATCCTGATGCATCTCTCGCCCTTTTCAAACACCTCAACCAAACATGGTTCCCTCTCGTCAGACTTCATCAACACAAACAATGCTTCCCATACCACTCAACTTGTACCCACCCTTACTTGGTAAGGGGTGCCTCTCACAAAAGATTTCACGGTCATCCCCTTTTTGTATGGGATGACTCCTCACACGACCTCTTCCAAAACCATGAAGGGGCCTCCATACAATGTAATTCCCACCTTCCAGAACCATAAAGGGGGTTTTAATCATCAAACACTCAAACTGAGGGACCACCCTCTGGGTCCCTGTACAACTTAGACGACGATGTTTAGTATGATCAAACATGCAAATTCCTAAATCCATCAATCCCGTAGGATTCTCACAGTTTTTCACAAACAGGTTGCACTTCCCCTCCTTATACTCTGCCCTCTCGTCCGCCTGCAGCAGACCGCACGAGTATACCGGAGGGTAGACAGCTTTACAATTTACACAATCATGCCCATGAGATGTATCATGTACTTCTCTCACGCAAAGCCAATCATACATCAGGATAAATCCACACATGTGAGAGTGATAGTGGTCGTCACAAGACAAGTCTCATAGAACCTCAACTCATGATACACTCAGGGAGTAGAATGCCTCCCTCAAGACTTAAACACAAACACTCAACTCAAACTCTGTCCATCTGAGCATGGCTCCCGACCCCACTGTACACCCGCGGAACGCGCCCGGGGACACAACATCTACTCAAAATTTAACAGGTGCCTAGCCCTCTGCCTCACCTAACTAGGGAAGACTCATACCCAAGCCTCTTTCAAACCCAAGTAGTCTCCGCACTGCGAAATAAATGTACTGATTAGCCCCATAAGACCTATGGCCGACCCTCATGTCCTAAGCCGTAGCCTATGAAAGAAAAACTCAAAGGAACCTCAATCAACTATGTGAACAAGCAGGCAGGGACTAATCCTACCATCTATAAAGTATGCACACGTCTAGGGCCCCCTCAGCTAACTAACCATATGTACACCTCCAATCCGGCCCCCTGTGTGTCACTACTCTGACCCTACTGCCACATAGACAGACCAGTCCCTACTTACACAATTCCTCCTGGTTTTGCCTATACAACTGAGCCGTGCCCCCATCTGGAGCTCGCTCTACTATCCTGCCCTGCCTGTCGTAGAACTTGCTGTTGAACTCCGCAACTCGCCCCTCGGCCTTATCCTCTAGGAGTTCTGGGCAGTCCACGGCTCTATGCCCTTCTTCCTTGCACCAAAAGCAGGAGGTATCGTGCCACCTGGCAGTCTTCTTCTTTCTCCCCTGCGAACTCGATGTTGAAGGTGTCCCCATGGTTTCAGTAGTCACCTAATGACACGAGGGCAATCCCATATGGCCCTTAGGTCCGGGCTTCATAGCCTCAGCACCCTCACTCCCTCGTGCGGCTGTGCTCACTGGCCTGCAGTCTGGCATATCCAACCCTCGAGGGCCCTCTTCATGAGGCCCCTCTGTCACCACCACCTCATCCCCATATGCTCCTGACAGCTGAGAGCCCACCATGGCGTTGGGCTCACTAATGACCTCCTGCTGCTGCTGCCCTAAGTCAGGTCCTCCCAAGTCCATCCCCGTGGCCCAGGAGCCTAGCTCCGCCCTCAACTCTCCCAACCTCGGAGCATCCTCTGGAGCGTCGAGCCTCTTAGGCCCCTCCTGTGGAGTGCCTATCCCCATGGCAGCCGCCAGCTCATGCAAACGCGAGTTTCTCCTCTGCGTGGACATAGCCATAAGCGACTCCTGTGCGCCACCCTCCCCTTCGGTTGCGTCCAAGGGCACCCCCTCCATTGGCTCGGCTTGTCGAGGGACCTCCACCGCTGCTCCCTGACTCGGCGAAGCCTGCACCCCTCGGCCCTGACCATCGGCACCGGCTCGCCCCATCTGGCTAGCCTCCCAGGCTGCCGAGAGCCTATCCACAGTGGCCGCCATCTCCCCAAATCTCCTCTCCCACTCAACCTCTCTAGCTTGGCTCCTCGCCCTCTCCTCGGCAAGCTGAGTAGTCAGGTGCTCTACCTCCAACTCCTTAACCCTGAGCTCATTGCTGAGTAGATTATACCACTGGAAAGATGTGACTGCCGTCTCGCATACCCTCCGATCCATGCGCTCAATCGCCTGCCTCGTCGCGGAGAATCCCACGTCTCCCATCTCCCTCAGCTCACTCGTCTCTCCGTCCGCCTGTCCTGCCTCTTGTGACCTCTGGCGGGCTGCATCCCTCTGGCTCTCATACCTAGCCCACAACTCGTCGATCCTCTGCTCGCTCGTCTTGGGCTCGACCGGCGGTGTCGGCTCTATTCTCGTTGCCTCCATCTCAGCCTGCCTCGTATGTATTTCATCCAGACGGACCCGTACCCGAGCGGACCTCTCTTCGCTGGTCTCTCTTGGGGCTCCTCTCACTCGCGGCCTCTAGCCCTCCGGGGTTGGTGCCTCAATACCCATCCCCTCGCTCGTGCATGGCACTTCTGGCGGTAACTCCACCGGAACGGGCTCCTCGATAACTGGGCTCTTGGTCACGTGCGTGGCCGATGGCAAGTCAAGGGGCGCCTCCATCCTCGCTCTCTCACATACTCCCTGATCCTCCGCCTCTGCCTCCTGCTCAGGCATAGTGGTGGCCTCAGGGGGAGACTCCGGAATCTCCTCGTTGCCTGGCTCAGGAATCCCATCCGGCCATGAATGTTGTACTGGCTCTGAAACTGGGGAGCATAGAGGAGTATTATCCCCAACCGTGATTATGTTCCCTTCCTGAGGCCGTACCGGATCCGGCCGCCCGGCTGCCATCTCAGGATCCGACCGCCCGGCCGCCCGGCTGCCATCTCAGGATCCGGCGGCCCCTCTCGGCCTCGCCGGTCCGTCTCTGCCTCGGGGTCCAAAGGCTCCTCCAACGGCACGTAGCACGCCGGCTCAACTGAGCCCTCCCCCAATCGTGAGGCCTCCCATTGAGATACATCGAGATGAGTCGCTAGGCTCCGTAATGGCGTCTCTCTCGGTATGTCCAGCTCCTGCGCTGATGGCAACGGTGAGGGCGACCTCAACTCCTCACTCGTAACCCGCCGAAACTCGACTGCCCGGAGGCCACAAGCAGGGAATGACTCCTCTGCCAATGCGGGCCCTGCGGGCTCATCCTCCTGCCGTGTTGGGGCTCTCCTCCTCTCTCTGGCCAGTCCCACCTCTCTCGGTGTCGGTTCCCTTGGCCTCTTGCTTCGCCGTCGCCTCTCAACCCTGGGCTCGTGCCTCTCGTGTTGTGGCCGTCCGAACGCCCTCCTGAGTTGGGCCTGACAGTCCTCCCAGTCTCGAGCCCTCTCCCGAATCTGTTTGGCCACCTGCCTCTCTGCCTGCCTCGTCCAGATAAGTAGGGCCTGCACCCATTCCTCCTGCGCAACCCCCAGACTCAACATGTAGTGCTCATATGCGGGGATGAACTCATCTGCGTTCCCCTCCTCCAACCGAATGGGCATGCCATCACGCCCCCTAGGGGAAGCTCTCAACCTCTGCATCCCGGCCTCCACATCTGGCCAAGTCAGGGCCTCCTCGCATATCTGAGCGACAGGCTCCTCGAACCGCCCTATACCCCTCAAGTGGTGAATCCTCTCCGCCACTGACCACCCTCTCTGTGCCGCACGGTCCCGATATACGTCCAAGAAGAGCTCAATGTTGTCGTCATCAAACTCAGGCGTAGGCCTCCTCCTAGGCGGTCCATGCTGCTCGCCCCCTCCCGCCATCCTCTGGAGCCCCTGGCGTGGTCGTGTGTCCCTCCCGCCCCTCTGCAGGACTGCCTTCGAAAAGTCAGACCTGCACAACAGGCGAGAGACAACAAACAGGCATACAACAAGGTCAGCAACTGAGCCATCAGTCTAGGGAAATCCCACATACTCTCCACACCCACCCACCCCAATCATCCACCTATCTAATCACCTGACCTGGGTAATACCTAGGCAAAACTCTATTCCTAACGAGGTCTCATGGCCCCTTACCTATTCCCTGGCCACGAACTTCTTCAACCTTGTTCCTAATACCCAGTCCTGCCACCCCGCACCATCCAGCTCTTCGATTTGGTAGGCCCCAAACTCGCCACACCGCACGATCCTATAGGGTCCCAGCCATCGCTTATCTAGCTTTCTGGACCATTGTTTTTCCAGCGAGGAGTCATACAGCAATACCGCATCCCCAACTTTCAGTGGATCCTTCCTTATTCGGGCCATCTGGTCCCATCTCATCTTGTCTTTCATACGGCTTCTCTCTACCTGACCGGCGGTCTCTCGTAACCTTTCCTCAGCGGCTCCCATCTGCCGCGCCCGTATATCGAGCAGTTCTTCAAAGGACAGGTTCACTTCCAGGTCCTGGCGTCTCCATGTCTTCATGAAGCTCTCTATGGGAAAGGTGGCGTGCCTCCAGTACCATAGAGTAGTTAACGCATACTTGGTAGTCCTTTTTACTGTAACATTCTCCACGAAGAATGCTGCTCTCAGGAACTTCGGCCACTGGTTAGGCCTTCCCTCAGTCCACTTGGCCAGGAGATTCGTGATGGTATTATGCCCCCTCTCCACAGGTGCGTTTGCCTGGGGGTGCGCGGCAGTAGTGTAGTTTGCTACCACGCCGTATCCCGCAAGCAAGGTCCGCACCTCGTTACAAGTAAACTCCGACCCCCGGTCCATCACAAACTCTCTGACAAATGGATAGCGCAAGTAGTACTCTTCGATGCACCTTGCTAAAACTGGGCCAGTTTTCGTACGAATAGCCCGACCGTCCACAAACCCGGTAAGGTTGTCCCGTGCGTCGAAGATATAGTTACTTTCATCCTCCCCGAGTGGCATGAACAACAAGTCGAGGTGTACGACTGCCCCCACTTCCCTGTCCAACCTGGGGTGTAGAGGCTCCCCAGGCCTTTGCGCTGACCTCTGTTGGCAAGGCACACAGGACTGACAGTACTTGATGATCATAGTCAGCATTCCATCCCAATAGTATAACTCACTTATCTTTGCGCACGTGGCACTAACCCCTCTGTGATCCCCTGCTATACCATCGTGTAAGGCTGCTATGACATCGACCTGCCGGTTCCTCCCACATACAATTATCTTGGGGTTCCTAACCTGTCGTTTTATAAACAGATGGTCATCTCTTACTACGTAGAGATGCCTCATCTTGTAGGCTTGAACACTTGCGTCCCTATCCCTTATTTCGCACGACAGGAGTAACCCCAACTCCCGATAGATCCCGTCATACTCCTCAGCACGGAAGGCTTCCCTAATCTCTCCCTCTTCGAACTCGTCGCCCTGACTCTCAGGAATAAGAAGCTCGCCTTCCTCGGAACCGGTTGCGCTCCTCTGGTTAAAGTTCCCCTGCAGGAGCGTGTTGGTGAGCAAGTACATTCCTCCCATTAGTTGCTCGTGCTCCTCTACCTGTGTTGGGCCTTCCTCTATTGTCCTTACTTCCTCCGCTAGACTATGTGTTCCTGCCAATGCCAACCTCATCATCCAGCCAACATCCATACTCCCCCACGGATCTTCGTCCTGGAAGGGCTTGAGGACCAACTCCTCCTTCTGCTCGTACCCCCTTGGTGCTAGCCATATAGGATGCATGACACAGTTGGGCACCCTCAACGACCACTCATTTATGTGGAGGCGGACATCCTCCTCCTGATCCAAGAACCCGTCAACTGGTAGGGTATCCTCAATTGATTCTTGATTCGCCCCGTCCCAGTTGATACGGCTCAATCCATCTGTCCTGTTTTTGTCCCCGGAAATCCTCTCCAACTCAAAGTTAAAAATCCAAATGTAAGTCAACCATCTCGCAATGGTTGGGTCAGATGGAGTATAACTTTTCAGGGAGCACTCAAGCGCGGTAGGGTCCACCCTCAAGATGAGCCTCCTGAGAAAGATGTAGTTTCGGAAGGTCCTCAAGCAGTGGAGTACCGCCAGCATTTCCTTTTTAAACTGGGAGTAGTTTCTTTCAGTCGTATTGAGGGTACGGCTTTCAAACCTCAGCGGTCTCTCCTTCCCATCAGCATCCGCCTGAATCAGGACTCCTCCTAAGGCAGTTGGCCCAGCGTCCGTCTCGACAACGAATGGCTTCTCCTCCGTGGCCTCGTAATTCGGCGCTCCCAGCACCAAACCCCCTTCCTTGAATTCCCTCTTCATCCCTTCTACAACCTTCTCCTGGTCTTCGCCCCCGACCCATTCCTGATTCTGACGCACCAGCTTCCTCAAATGCTCCGTCTTGGTGGCGAAGTCCTTCACAAAACTCCTCCAAAACCCACAAGTCCAAGGAAGCTCCTCACGTCCGTTATTGACTGGAAGGGGACTGGCCACTCTAGGATCTTATCCGTTTTCTTCACGTTTGGCCTCCGCCCTTTCTCGTTGCAGACAAAACCCAGAATTGTGGCCTCCCTCATACAATGCTTCGACTCGGGGCCGCTCGCCGTCAGGTTGTGTTCTTCCAGCAGACCCAGGACCTGATCGATATCCTGGATGTGCTTCCAGATGAACCGCTTCACTCCTGGCATCACTTCGTCCTCCTCCTTCTCCTTTGGGCCCTTAACCGACAAATCATCAATGTAGGGCTGAGTGATATGTGGACTTACCGTCTGCATGACCCTAATCATGTGCCTCTGCACCATTGCCACCGCATTAGTCCACCCCTGAGGCGCCACGTTCATGTGGATCAGCCCCCTTGGCGTATGCATCGAGGTCACTGGCCTGTCCGGTGGGTACACAGGAAACTGGTCGTACCCAAAATAAAGGTCTATAAGTGAGATTATAGGTCTCCCTGCGCATGACTCTGACAGGGCGTCCGCGTTCGGCAATCCTCTCGCGTCCCGCACCGTCACTGCATTCAGTCGTTGCAAATCCTGCACCCACCGTAGCGTTCCGTTCGGCTCGATAAAACAAAACCAAGGGGAAGCATACGGTCCACTGGAGTAATCTGCCTCATACGTCCTCATCTTCCCATCCAAGTAATTCACCACCTTCTTCTCCTCATCCGGATTCGGGTACCGCGCGCCCCTCAAGTTCCACGACTCGTCTGGGACGGTATGGATTCGTATCATTGGGATCTTATCCACGTCCAACCTCCCACACTCGTCATCATTAAACAAATACGCGCAATGCCTCCTCTTCATGGTCTCCACCATCAAGGTCCTTTCCTGGGGCGAAAGGAAGCCAGGTTCGCCAATTATTAGCCCTTTCTCATTCTCATTATTGATGCGGCACGGCCCTGCCTGCGCGTGCTTCCGCATACGCCTTATCAGCCCTCTCTCTCGCTCATAATAGGCTTCCTCATCCTCCGTGACAAGCACGGGGACCAGACGGCACTTCTTATCTATAGTCTTGTACCGCCTTTGGGAGCCCTGCTTAAGCCCTTCCCTAAAAAAGGCCGACTTGTCGTTCGGGCCTGGGCCATCGCAGGGTCCCCTTTCCTCCCAGGAAGCCGATAGATCAGCTCCACTTCTCCCACCTGAGGGCTTTCCAGGACCTGCTCCCTCAACGCCTTTATAGCCTCAGGGTCCGCCATATCGTGCGCCACCACCACCTCCATTGCCTTATTCACATCATTAAGGCTCAGGGACAACACCTCGCCTGCTCCTTCCTCCTCCTGTTCCTCCCGGAGTCTCCGTCGCGCATACTCAGACTCCTCGAAGGTTAAGGAGCCGAGGTTGAGCCTGTTCCTCCCACTTCCGGATCCTGTATTCCGGCACTTAATGATTTCGTAGTTTCCGCAGGACGGATCGGATAAAGCCAGGATCATCGTCCCCTCATGCCTGTTGAAGACCAAGGTCTCCGTTCGGCAGAGGAACGAGCTCTACAGAAGGATAGGGTGGTCGACATCGGGCATGACGAAGAAGCACGTTTGCGCTCTTACTCTCCCAATCTCCACCATCACATTAGACGCGGTGCCGCAGAAAATGGCCTTGCAGTTGGCGCCGTGCAGCACACCATGGTCCGAGTGGTCAACTTCCAACCCTAACATCGTCGCGTCCCGCTCCCGGATGATATTCATCTCCGCGCCCGTGTCCACCATTGCAATGCTCGGCTGGTCCCTCACCTTCAAATCCACCAACCCACACGCCACACATTTCCAATCCATCCTGGTGCCCGCCTCTGTCCACTCTATCTCCCTAGGCAGAATTGAGCTCAAGTGGACATTGGGCACTAACCTTCTCGAGAGCCGCCCTTTTAGCTCGCCACGTAGCCTTGGTGCCGACGCCAAAATGTCCTTTAAGTTCATCAAATCGTTATGGCCCTTCAGTAGCTTGTCCACCATTCGCTCCACGTCAAAACCTTCCTCCAGCCGGACTGCGTACTTTTTCCTCTTTGGCACGCTATCATGCAGGCTCGGCTCCGCCCCTCCTTGAGCCCCTCTCTTCTTGCCCTCTGTTCCGCTCTCCGGTCCTCCTCTTGCCGGAGCCTCTCGTCCTCTTCGTCATCACCCTCATCTTCCTCTTCTTGAACCTCTACTACTTCTTTCCTTCGTTCGGACTCAGGGTCCTTTCGAGGGGGCGCCCGACTGGGTGCCTGGCTAGGCCCTTGACTGGTGGTAGCCTTACTTTGGCCCCTAGTCTGCGCGGCCTGTGGTACCCTTCCATACGACGTAGGGGGTCTGAAGGTCATCCCTGACCTAGGACCTGCCCCGGCCGTCGCCACGCTTGGACATCCTTGCGGTCCTGATGATGACTCCGGACTGGACCCATAAAGCTCAGGAAGGCTCATTTCCCATTCCCGGGCCTTTTCACACATTGCCCTTAACCGTTCCTGATACCTGCCGACCTTTGCAAGCAGGTCCTCCATCCTCTCCAAGATGGTCGAGGCTGACACTCTCACCACTTCCTGCGCCTCATCGTCGGACTCAACAACTATGGGCTCCTCCTTTATAGTCCCCGCCTTCAGCCGCTAAGTCACTTCCTCATTTTCATCCACAATCTCCTCGACTCTTACACCGGGGTCTTGCCTTTCCTGCCATATCCTGAACATTGTTGGGGCTGCTGGAGGCCCTGCCGCTGCTCGCCTGAGGGCTTCCTGCCTGATTCCTCCTGGGGTCTTGGGATCAATGTGCTTTTCCCACCGGTCGTATATGTCCCCATCCATACAGGTGGAGATTAGTCCTGCCAGCTCGTCGTCCCGCTGCTGTTGGCAGAATCGTACGGTGTGGCCCACCTCGCCACAATGCCAACAAGTTGCATTCCACCAGTCGAAGTGGGGCCTCCCATACCCTTGGCCCCCTCCCTGGCTGCTTTGGCCACTTGGTTATGACCCCCTTGACCATTCCAGCCTCCTCCACGGCCTCCACCATTTTCCCCTCGCCCCCGGTCGCCCCCTCCTCTACCCCCTTGGCCCCGGCCCCCATTGCCCTGCCCGCCTTGTCCTTGGCCCCTTCCCCCGGCCACACTAGCTTGCGAGGCCTGTTGGGAGGGCGGCGGTTGAACCACGGGCTRGCTTTGAGTCGCCGGGTAGCTCGGGGGGCCCATACTCGCTGATGGGCCCGAATAGGGGACCATGTGTCCCGTGTGGGCCTGACTCCCTCCACACGAGACACAATGGTTACAACTAGGCCAGGGCGTGGATTGGCAATGAGGCACCCAGTGTCCACAAGTTGGCGGCGGTCCCATGTGCGATGATCCGGCTGGCGCGGGCACTGGCGCGGCCGCGGCGACCGGTGGTGGTGCGGCAAGGGCTTGGGGAGCCTGCCCCTTCCCTGATCCCTGTCCCCCCAGTAGCAGATTACACTGCTTCCTCTGGGCCTTAGTCAGGGCTTAGGAGCATGTCTCCCCTCCGCCGTAGTCTTCACGCCCTGCCTCCTCATCTCCTACTCCTGACGCCCGGCCTTGGGTCACTGCCACCACTCTTTTCTGTAATTCTGCTTGGTTGTCATACCCCAGTCCTGCCAATACATCCGTGACAATTCTCTTTACCCCTAGGGTCCCGGATGCAGTAGCATCCCGCTCCTTCCTCTTGCGCCTTTGCAGCCTCATTTGGTGCTGCTCCACCT